TAATAGCACCATCACTACTAATACTGCCCCACTGCCAGCAATACAAACACAGACTCAACAACCCACCACCACCAGCCATTTTACTTCTGATGGTAAATTGGGTGCAACGACAATGCCACCTAACTACCACCCTTACCGTCTCCAACAAACTTCCATTTTCAACTTCAACACCACCACTACCTCACCACCACAACCACCAACAAATTACCATTTTCAACTACAAGCCACCACAGCGACCATAAAAACCAACCCAACCGTCAGATCCATCACCATCGCCACCGTCACCACCTCAAATTCCCACAAAAAAAAAAAAACTCCAAATCCGTCGTCCGCATCACCACTATTGTAGGAATTGGTTCAAATAATTAACCAAAAATTGAAAAATGAAAAGATGTGTGAAAGTGGAAAATGAAAAGATGTATAAAAGTGAAAAATGAAAAGGTGTGACTACGTGTCAACTTCGACCAAATATTCGGACTTGATCCAATGGTCAAATTATAAAAGTAAATAGACCAATTTATTCTACTCGTCGAGTAGATCGTCGTGGTATATTTGAAATCTTGAAACCAATTCCGGATGAATGAGAAATTGCGGACCAATGTTGGAAGAAATGAAGTGGTGCAACTTCAAAAGGATGCAGATTTTGGCCAAGTATTGCAACTTTTTGAAAGGATGCTTGTTTTGGTTCACACTACTTCATTTGCACCATTTCTATATTTATAAATAGAACCCTATGGACACGATTTTGGGTACACCAATTGCATTGAGCATTCACTTTCCTCTTGCAATTCTCTCCTTTCTAATTCCATATCATTTTCATACATTTCCTTGGTAGAGAGGGAATTTCGTTCGAGTTCGTTAGTCAAAGCCATTTGGAGTGCTCCTATGGCTTGACGTGGTCGTTGTATCTTGGGAGATGATTGTCGAAAAATCGTTAGCACCAATGCGGGACAAATTCATCTTAAGGAAAAAGTTATACTTGCCTTGGCTAATCGCATCACTTACATCTAATTTTTTTCTTATTTCATTTCTACTTGATTTTAGAAAATGATTAATTTTATTTATATGATTTATGCAAGGTTCGATATGAAGAATCACATATTTAATTCAAGAATGAAAATGGTTAGATTCGATAATCATTGATTAGTTTCTCAAACTCCATTTCGGTAAGTCAAAACCTTGTTTCGATTTCATGAACATAAACGGTATATTTTTTGTGAATATAATACGCACATAATCGGTGTATTCTCCAACAATTATTATCTCAAATCACAACCCACAAACTTCGTCAACCCTCAACCACAAACATCATAAAAGCAGCTATTGGAAGTGGAGGTAGTTCACCACCGCTATTGCAGCGTCACACAATGCCAATCTCAGAGCGCCAACTATGGCAAGCCATCGTGAGCGATCGCTACAGCACAGCGCCAACAGTTTCATGAGTAGCTGAGCGTCACTCTGGTGGTTTATCCAGTGGTGGTGTGTGCTAGTTTATTCAGTGCCTCCTGTGTGTTGTGTGGTGGCGTTGCCGCTACGACGGAGTAATGGCGACGTCGTAACCGGATGATCGTGGTTAGCACCGCTGCCCAAGGGTTGTGGTGGTGTGATAAAGGGAGAGATTATAAAGAGTGAAAAGTGATATAGAGAGAGAATTGAGTGAGGAAGTTATTAGGGTTTGACATATTTGGAGAGGGTGGAAGGAGGTAGGATGGGATATATAAATTAATTTAGTTTTATAATATTATTATTAATTAAATATTACCTGATTTTTGATTAAATAAGTTTACACCTTCTTTTTGAATAGTGATTTTTAAAAAGTAATATCCTCTTCTAAGATAGAAACTCAAGTTTTAATATAGTGTCAGAGCTCATTAAACTTCAACGAGCAAATTGATCTTAATCGAGACTTAAAAAATGAGCACATACATTCCGAGATTGATTTATTCCAACAAATCTGATAAAAATAGAGATTAATATATAAAGACTTGACCTACCTCCTTTAATGAGGTTGATCTTTTGAGATGAAACTCAAATTTTAGCCCCTATTTGGTAGCTTTTAATTTGAAATAATTAAAAAAAAAAAACATATTGAATAGTACTTATTGGAGAGTGCATGGTTAAAAAATAAGAAATTTTTTTATTTCACGCGTAAAATATTTTATTGTGTAAATATGTAATTAAAAGTGAGCATGAGAATTAAATTAACGACTACCAAACATGGGCTTAATATGGTATGACCTTCAATGTACATTAAGTAATAAATTCCAAGTCTAATAAAACGAAATTATATACCAATTTATAAAGATTATAACTAATCCTCTTAGTAAAGTTGGAACCCAAGTCTTAATAGAAATCAATCATTAAACCAAAAGTCTCTTGGTGATAATTAATTAGACTCGTATAATATTCCATAAAAGAAACTAGAATCATTTTATTTCCCAACAAAATCCCCCCCGAAGAACATAAATTAATTACGACAGCCATCGTTAAATCCTATGGCTTCCACAGAGACAGTAAAAATCATGAAATAAGAGAATGAATGCGTAAAAGTACCTCATTTTCCTTTATTTCGTCCGCGCAAAATGGCTTATAGCAGTTGCTTTGAGTAAGTCTTCGTCTGCGTGAATAACATCGCCTTTATATTTATATTTAAAGATGAAAGAAGTAAAAGGGCTATACTGGATACTGGAAATGTCTAGATTTTTCTTTGAGCGCCAACATTACGTGGAGTGAGAATCGAGTTGGTCCCATTTGGACGCAATGATTAATTTAAACCTTTATTTAACGAGTAATGCTATTTAACCCTTTTTTGAACCCTTTTTTTTTTTTTTTATGTAAAAAAAACAAGTGTTTTGAAGTAGTGATTTTTTAAAAAATATGTGATTAAAAAATAAGAAAAAATTATCAATTTACATACAATATTATTTTATTAAAAAATGTGGTTGAAAAGAAGAAAAAAAAATATTTTGATAAAAATGGAGCGCAAACAAGGCCTTAGCTTCGTTCCGTTATAATTTCAATTTATGTGACGTTAATGTTGTATTAAATGGTAAGTACAATTAAATTAATCATTTTAGAATTTGCGTGTAATATTATTTTGTTGAAAATTTTGATTAAAAAGAAGTGAATTAAAAATACATTTTAAATAAAATGGGGCCCAAACAGTAGCTAACATTTATCTATTTTGTGTAACATCCTCCTAGTCTTTCATTTTGGAGCAAACTTGTGTAACTCAAATTCTAAGGAGTACATTATTTTCATTCTTTTTTTTAAACATAAAACCTCGTAAAATAATGAATTTACCCTTTTCTTCACATAAACAAAAATAAAAGAAAGAAAAAACATAGAATTAATTGCAATCATAATCTCAATTTTTTCTAAAAGTGCAAACAAGAGGTTGAATGATGTAGGGAGTGTAAGAGAGGCAATGAAGAATAGAGATGTAAAGAATGTGCGATTTAGCTATATCGAGCTCAATGGTACTATATTCAAGTTTTTAAAAATGATCAAAGTCATCCAGATTTTACGAAAGTTGAGGAGATTTAGGATTAGGGAATTCGGGTACGCGCCTAAAACAAATTGTGCCGCACCATATAGGACACGAGGAGAAGGAGAATGCATTATGCTAACAAACATTATCAGCACAAAGCGCAGAGATAACGAACTTACGTTCACAATCATTGGTATGTTAGCGATGACGACAACAAATGAATAGGAAAATAGTAGAGAAAAACAGGAAACAATGAAAATTTAAAATATCAGTGGCAAATTTCAACTCCCTCTACAATATAGAACTTTCAAGGACAAAATATGACAGTTTCAGCAAGAATGGCACAAATGCATCAAGAAATCCTACATGACAAATTAAATCACACTAATTACTGCATGTTTGTTATGCAGGACACTAGGAGACGTTATTAAGAAAGAAAAATAAGCCAGCTGGTCTTGTCCTGTATTGCGTACCAAACATGTTTTTAAGGTCACTGTACCATTAGTCTTTTATCAGCCTTGCCTCAAAACCTCCTTCAGGTCGCTTTATAAGTCTGTATGGCACATAAGTTCCAAGCAATATGTCCCAGATGGAAAAGAACGGCTGGGAATAGTTGAATTTTGTACCTTGGAGTTGATGATGTATGTCATGGTACGCAGTATTGTTTTGGAAAAATATATGGAAGATATTACCAGGTAACCAAAGTCCACAATGATCATCAACAGTTTTGACCACAGCGAAACAGAAGAAGAAAACAGCAGTACGTGCAGTCATTCCCGAAATGAGGAAAGAGATGGCACCACCAACTGTGTCCAGTAAGAGACCTTCCAGAGGGTGATTGTAAAGGGCCCCAATGGCATAAGGGACAACCAACCTATGATGTTGAGAATGGATATGACGGTACAAAAACTTGTTTTGGTGCATGTAGCGATGCACAAAGTACTGCCATGCATCCATGACCAACATAGCAATAGCAAATTGCACAGCTTGAATAGGAAGAGAAGGCTGAACTGTAACGCCGGAAGAACTTGCATTTGATGTTACCTACAATAAGTGCAAAAGTTCAGTGGGTAAACCACTTTAGGAAAAACGAAGAACGATATACATTATTGGGTTCTGCTATGGCCCAAAGAATATTATTCCCATTTGATTCTCATTTCTATCAAAATAAATTTCTCTCTTTCTCTCTTCTTCTTAATCACACATTTTTCATTAAAATAATATTACAAGTAAATAAAAAACTTTCCCATATTTTTCATCCACACATTCTCCATCAATCTACTATTCTAAAATTCATTTTTCTATAAAAATGGGTGTCAAACACCCTCATGAATAAAAACTTCTTGCCATAGTCTTCGCCTATCTGTATCTGTACTGTACTACACAAATTAGAATGTTGCGTCCCCAGAGAGGACAAAACAGTAAAAGGAAAAGAAAAGAAAATTAACCCTTCCTTCCTGTACTTCCTGGATTGGAGGCATCCCCAAATAACACAGAGGAAGGAGAAATGAACTAAAATATAGAAAATAAACAAGCTAAAGGACTCAAAAATTCTTGAGACAATCCATTTATTCCATTTAGAGAGCAAACCATTTATCAACGCAGGCAATGGAAAAACAAATCTGAAACATTTGTAAGTTAACACTTAGGTTGGTCATAAGCGATCAGAAATATAACAAGCATATTTCCAAATCAATGGTTTAGATCTTAAAGTGTAAGGTATGAAGAAAAATATAAAACATTTTCTGAATCTATTCATGAGAAGCCAAAACAATAAGACTAATTATTGCGAAAACGCGGACACATTCTGGTTATTCTTGAGAGGAATATAAAGGGAACTAAATAGTTCAAGGTCTTTCAATGCCCATTTTCCGAAAGGTGCAGTATATTCGATGGTAGAGATGATGAGGGATTCAGACTCCTGCTTAATTGTCAATATCATACAGGTTAAGTTCCCGGAAAAAGCTGAAGGCCACATGAAAGGATGAAATATTAGCGTGCACGCACAACCTATTGAAATTAAATTATACTAACTATAATCAGCCTATTCATATGGGAATGAGATTATTGTAGGAGTTTCACACCAATCTCACTTAATAAGAGCTCCAGTGTGTCCCTCCTTGCTTCTGCAGCCATGCTCAAACCAAAATAATCTTCTAAAACATGTACCTGTGTAACATTAAATAGGAAGGACATGCCGATTACCTGGTCATCATCAATGTCATCCCCATGATGCGGAGGTCCATCCCCATCTCAAAGACTAGGTTGAGGGCCAGATTAGATCTCTCATTATTCATTAATCACTAACTCATATATGCATGCGTGTAGGTTTATATTTACTTATTTATGTGTGTTGGCGTAAATGCAAACTTATAGAGGGCACCAAAGAGCTCTAACGCCTCAAAAGAAAGAAAAGATATGCAAAAGAGTAAACAGAAAAGAATATCATTGGGAAATCAAGCAAGCAAATTTCGTAACGAGAAATTAGAATACAGTAATTAAAATGTCAGTCCTTCCATTAATGTCTCAAATTCTCCAGCCAGCCAGTAAGATCATCTAAAGAAGATTCAAGAATTCGTGGACAAAGAAAATAACTTCAGACAAATAAAGAGCTAACATATTCAGTCCAATTATTAAAACATAACTATGACATCAATTGCTTGTCAAAAACAAGAATCAGTATCTTAATTCTATTAAATGTTTTATTTAGATAACAGTCTTCCCGAGATTTTCTTAATCTGTGCCCGTAGTGCAGTAGTCGGGACTCGGGATTTATTACTGTTCAAGTCAGGGTAGCCAGCTAGGTAATTGAAAGAGTACAATATGTGAAAGAGTAGTCCTAATTTGTAAAGAAAATATTTTGAAAGGAAAAGAACTTTAAAAGAATGGCTCCTATTTTCATCAGTGAAAAAACCTCAAGACTTGTCCCACAACAAACATCTCGAGATCATTTAAAATCTTAATATTTCCTGTGCAGAGTTATAAACGTAGTATTTTCATCACAAATTAGATAAAATTCCACAACAATAATGTTGACGACCTAAGTTCTGTACACATAAATTTGGGTCCACTATGTGAATTCATTTTTTAAGCTTTATTTGATCATCTATCGAATCAAATCTTTTGCAACCACATTAAACGATATTTTTGATCTACCTCTACCTCTCCTAACATACATCATTCTTGAGAACAGTACTTCTCTGAGTCACATCAGGAGTCCCAACTACCTAGCTATCATTTCCTTAATTTGTCCTATCGGTGCAAATTTCATTTGTTGGTTTGTATTCTCATTTATTATCCATTCTAGAATGGTCATATCAATTCATTTCCAGAGCAATAGAAAATCCAAAATGAGAATTTGAAGACAATTAAATAAATACACAAACACAAACATAATTTATTTACCAAAAAGAGCAAATGAGCAACAACAGCCTGAACAAGCTGTTGAAGGAGAACGCCTTTGATCACAACCCCCAGTGGAACCAAATTTTTCTCACTTTCCTCCTTTCTTGTGTGTAGCCTGTAGTTATCTAGAGGCGGCAACAACTGATAAAACCCTGCGTACAACCAGTATACCAAAATTGGGGCAAATGTCCCCATCAATTCATCGCTTACATACCCATCCCACAAAACCATCCTTCAAATTTGATTTCTTTCTTTTCTCAAATCCAAAATTTCTAACGTTCTGCTCAAGATCTATATCAGCTCATTCGGCATATTGCATACATACTGAAAAATGAAATCATAAAATAGTGAGTTTCCGGACAAAATGTCACAAAATTTTAACTATTTCAATTGATACATTGGAGCAAATAAACTTGTGCTAAGTACTATATTACAGAGTACACATAAACATGTACCACATAATACACATAGAAGGACGAAAACACAAATTGAATACCATAATGTTAAATAATAAACTTCTAGACGAAAATTGAGCTAACATAGACACATAATGTGACATCACATCGTATATAACCAGAACCCTTTTTTTTGTTGAAATAATAATTAAATTATGCGGATTAAGACATATAATTGAGCAGCCTGTGGTATTTACATATAATGAACTTCAGATGTACTTCGGAAAAGGGTAGGAAACAAAAAAGGAATGCCCATATGAGATATGATAAAACCCAGGTAATTCAAAATATTCTTTTCACTTAACGAAATTCAAGCTAGGACAACAATGCACTCGTATTAATCCTAAACACAACAAGAAAATAATAAAAACCCGGATGGAAATTTACAAATCTGTGACAGGTATAGCTACATTGGATGTGATTAAAACTTACATGAAGATGACACCAGGGGTGGTGTAGGTAAATTCTGCGGCACAGATCTGTGAGAAGAATGTGCATATAAATTATATATGTGTGTATAAATACGAGAGGTGAATGTTGATATTGTGATGGTGGTGACAGTTGTGAGATTCCTCGAGGAAATTTTGAATAAATGATCCAAGTCAGATTCGACTCAATGAAAAAGCAAACAGAGTGCCCAGTTAAGCAACTATTGAGACTTGAGAGGGTTGGGGTTTATTGATGTTGGAAGAGGGAATTCAAAAATTCTCATTTTCCAGTTTAACTTTATTTTTAATTAAAGGGATTGTTTTTTAATTTTTTAAATTTTTTTGGGGGAACTCTGATTGAGAAAAAAGGAAAAAGAAAAAGGCAAAGGGTCAAAATTCAGTCCGAGAAGAAAAAATGAAATGCTCGAAAGAAATGGTAAGTGCAAGAAAATACACGAGAAGGAGAAGGAAGATGACGAGCCGAGCTTTTGCTCAATTAAAAAATCTAAGCTTGACTCGAGCTTTTGATTTAGGTCTTATCGAATCGAGCCGGCACACTTTTTTTTTTTTTTTTTAGACATACACACAATAAATAGCTAGTAGGCAGCCCGCAGCTACTGCTACCTAAGCAAGGCAACCCTGACTTGAGTATTTATAAAATTTACAAACATGAGCCAAATGTAGGCTGAGTACGAGAGAAACACGAAAGGAGAAGAAATGTGAGAGTTGAGTTTACATTTTGAAATGAGAGTTACGAACTTGCAATTGTTTTAAAATGATACCAAGCATGAGCATTTATAGGCCAAGAGATGCAGTTAAGGTTCTCCGGATGCTTGATACATAACCTCATTCGAACGGTTGAGGAGTCAGGCTCAATGACGTGCGATCTCCCACACATCATCTTAGGTAGAAAAGAAGGGTTTTGACTCCTAATTGTCATAGCAAGGATGTATCATAAGTCAAATTACATGTGTTCAATGTGTCAAATTATAACTTGTACAAGGCATTAGGGATTGTACAAGGCATTAAGGATCTAACTCAACCGCCTTGGACTTAGGAGGCCAATCTGGTGTGCTAAGATTCGGGTCTTCTCTAATTGCCTTGGAGAGAAGAAGTGACAAGTCTGTAGTTAATTGAGTCACCTTGAAATTTTTTGTCCATGGACGTTGGGTTGTGCTCTCTAAGCCTTGAACATGAAGTTGGGCAAAATGATGATATTGGTCTCATTGCCCCGAACCAAAGGAGGGAGAGGTGACACTCAAGTTGCCGCTCACTTTGGAATAAAGTCCTTTCATTGCATTTTGGTAACTAACAACCATGTGACTTTTCAAGCATGCAGAGGTGTAATAGGATTTATGCTAGAATTAAGTTGAGAAATACCGAAAGTTAGAAACAAAATTTGTTTTATTCAAGTAATTAATAGCAAGGCAATCCAAGTCGAGATTTAATGCTATCACGAGCCATGATCCAAGAGGGACAATTCTCAAGTTTTCATAAAATAGCATGATTTTGAAGATGTGTTACTTACATAAAATAGCCTATGATTGGGGAATGAAGGATTATACTACGAGACATAAGATTTAAGTTTGAAAATACAGCAACCCCGAGCTATAAATGAACGAATGTCAACTACTTTCATAATCTCTCCGTGATTCATATCCTATAAAAAGAAGTGACATTACGCACACATACATCTAAACAACACATTCTCCTCTCGTACTTGTGTTCGTGATTTGAGTGTTGGATGATCAATGCATTTGATTGATTCATGACCCTTGGGCCCCAACCCAAATAGGTCGGGAAATTGTTGTCGTGGGTTAATAAGTGACTTTGTGTATTGGTTGGCCCGCCTCATTTGATATTATTTAAAAGGAAAATTATCAAAGCTATATATATACATCTCACGATTTCCCTAGACAAATTTGAGGAACAAAGTAGCTTGACTGAGAGGGAGAGAAACTCGAAGCCACTTCCGCCCTCAAATATATATATATATATATATATATAACATTAAACAAAGCTATAATAGGGACAAATGAGTTCCCCGAAGCATCTCATTGTCATCCTTAGCCACTTGGCACCTTGACCTCACCAACTGTTTATTATAGTGGTAATTTTTAAATTCACGAAAGGATCGATTTCCATACATATTGAAGACAATATATACAACGATTTTTATGAAAATATGTGATTAAAAAGTAGGAATAATTTTGAGATTATGCATATAATATTTTATTGTGTGAATTTATTGTTGAAGATGAATATGTTGAAAAAAGAATTTTAAAATGGTTGTGGTCAAATCAGGGCTAATCTATATTCATATTTGTAAACAATACCAAAATTTACCCCTTGACAGATCCAGACTTAAAAATCAAGTTTCAATAAAATTGAAAGTACACTAAGTCCGTGATTGGCCCCCATTACGTAAAAAAAATAATGAGTGGAATAGTATTTGTTTGAAAAATGAGTAGTTGAAAAAGAAGGAAATTTTTTTGATTTACGTGTAATATTATTTTATGGAAGATTGTGTAGTTGAAAATTGAAGAGAAAAAAATGAAATATAATGTAATGGGGCTCAAACGGGGGCTAAAACAAAACATCAATAGATATAAATATATTCTAGTCGAATTCAAAATGTGTCGTTACTTAAAGCATGTCTTTGAGGTGTTTTATATTTATTTAAATTATGAATAAATAAAATTGAGCAATGATTAAATGTGTAGCACTTGTGGATCTCTTGAAATGTGCAGTTAAAAGGTTAGTTTGATATTTATGAATACGAGTTAAACATAAGCTAAGTCCCTATTTGGTGTAGCTTAGAATTTGATAAAAAAAAAAATAATAAAAGTCAACAATTAATTTTCATCACACACTTTATAGGATTCATAATTTTTATCAACTTTATAAGTACATATCTCATTTAAATCTACTAAAATTTAATTTTTAACAATAATAAAGGGGGCATGATTACGTGGACAAAATTTGACAGTAAAAGAATTGTATTAAACAAAATAAAATCTCCAAGGTCCCATTAATATCTCCAATTTTTTTCCACGGTGATCGTGTCACCTCCAACTCTAGAGTTTTCTTTCACGCCACCTCGTTTGAATGAGAAAATAGTCCCAGGATGACGCCATAACCTCGCTATCATACTCTCTCTCTCTCTCCTCTTTTATTATTATTATTATTATTATTATTATTATTATTATTTTTTTTTTTTTTTTTTGGTTTTTTTTTTTTTTTTTCATTATCACGGTTTAATAAGTATTTCTGCATTTATTTTCGTTTCGTATTATTCAATTGTCACTATGTTATTATACTATTATAATTTATTTTACTAAAAGAGATTGATTTCATAGATAACTTACTCTACTCAACTTGTTATAAATTGAAATGATGTAAATAGGGACGTGAATTAAACAAATTAATTCTATAAAATTGTGTCTAGTCTAACACGATTCTTGTTTACTAATAGCTAATGACACAACCCTTGCTGATTAAGGAAGCCGTATCACCAAACCCCGCAACTATATATATAGAAAAATAATAGAGGAAAAACATAGCACTTGTTTGAGCCCTATTTTTTCCAATAAAATGCATTTTTGAATAGTGTAATGATGTGAAATGTGTGGTTAAAAAATAAGAATTTTTTTTATATTTTCGTGTAATATTATTTTATTGAAAAATGTGTGATTGAAATGATGTCAAAATACTGTTTAAAAATATATTTATTTTTTTTTCAAAAAAGGGGCTCAAACAAGGGCTTTTTATTTAAAAACATTAACTATGCAAGAGTATGTTTTATAGTAGAGTATTATATTTGTAGATTTATGCTTATTCATGAGTAATAACATGATATATTAATTTAAAAATTTTAAATGAATATTTGAAAATATTTATCCAGGATAAAGACATAAAAAATATTTAATAATCATCATAAACATATATATTTTGCATAGAGGAGGAGAAATTAAAAACAAACATGAATTAATGAATTGATCCCATGCACATGTGCAGCAGTAAAAAATAAATATCTCAAACCCTATGCATGAATTGACACAATTCATTGTCATACACAAACCCTCGTGTTGACATATGCAATTGTCTATCAAACCCTTTGAATTCACAGATTGCATGTATTTCATATAACATTATTCTAATTGTACAATCATGTCTCACAACTTTGTTGACAATTGGTGAGGTGTAGAAATCCAATTTTTAATTTTTTCGAAAATTTTGAGAGTATAATTACAATTTGTTCTTTATTTTTCTTCCTTTATTTTTTTATTTAAAGAAGAAATTTGTCATTTTACAGCTTTTAATTGAGAAAATGGATGAAAATAATATTTTTGCAATGAAATATAAAAATAAGAGTGAAAATGTTAAAAAATAAAAAATATGAACATTTTGCACAATAATAATAAAATGTATGAACGTTTTGTGCTAATTACCTTTTAATAATTTAGTTGAACTCATTTGCACTTTTTAAAAAAGTTTGAGAGAATGATTGCAATTTATTCTTTAACTTTTCTTTTCTTTTTAATTGTTTTATTTAAATAAGGGATATATTTGTAATTTTACAGGAGGACTTTGATGAAAATGATAATTTCTGCAATAAAAGGTAAGATAAAAGTGCCAAAAAATGAAAGGAAAAGATGTTTTGCACAATAACATTGAAATGAAAGGATATTTTGTGCTAATTACCCTAAAAAAAAATTATGGCAAATAAAATTAATAATACTATTTAATAAAATAATATTTTACCGTCCATCTTGCCCAAAAAAATTCGACATTATTAATAAAATAAAAGTAAAAATACTATTTAATAAATGAAACTTGATTTTAAAGTAATTATTTATTTTTCAAATGTATTTAGATAGTTTTTTTTATTACTTAATAAGACTTGCTGTTGTTAAATTTGTTTTAATTTTAATTTACACAATTGTGACCTCAGCTGGAATATTTGAATAAGTCGACATTCAATTGTTTTCAAATATTTTCAAAAATGGAGCTGGTAGGAAAGTGTGTTTTTTTCAAAAATTGTCCAATGTGATGTTACCACTTGATACAATGTAAAATTTAATGTCAAACTCAATGTACTTGTAGCATGTTCCAGAATTTTTCCCCTTTCCTTTGACTAACCAATTATAAAATTCCGAAAATATGAAATATAAAATTAAATAAAACAGTCGACATAAAACCACCCTACTGGAAGCTCTTTGAACTTCACTCACACCCGAACGCTACCCGAATTCCCACTAAAACCAACATTCCAAGAAATTTCTTACAGGCTACCGC